GCTGGAGCGCTCGGCTGGCCCGGAGCCCGGGGCTCGGCCCGCTCCCCGGCGGCACGATGCTCTTCTCGCTGCGGGAGCTGGTGCAGTGGCTGGGTTTCGCCACTTTCGAGATCTTCGTGCACCTGCTGGCCTTGCTGGTGTTTTCCGTGCTGCTGGCACTGCGTGTGGATGGCCTGGTCCCCGGCCTCTCCTGGTGGAACGTGTTCGTGCCCTTCTTCACCGCTGACGGTCTCAGCGCCTACTTCACCACCATCGTGTCTGTCCGCCTCTTCCAGGACGGAGAGAAAAGGCTGGCCGTGCTCCGCCTCTTCTGGGTCCTCACCGTCCTGAGCCTCAAGTTCGTCTTTGAGATGCTACTGTGCCAGAAGCTGGTGGAGCAGACGCGCGAGCTCTGGTTCGGCCTGATCATGTCGCCCGTCTTCATTCTCCTGCAGCTGCTCATGATCCGCGCCTGCCGTGTCAACTAGCCCGCAGAGGGCCGCCGGCGCATACTGGACCTCCATCCTGACCCTTCTTCCTTCCCCACGGGAGTGGTTGGCCGTTTTCACAGCCCCAAACGTGTCTGAGATTACCCCCACAGCAGCCCCCGGCTGGAAATCTTGAGTTGCCCTGAGTAGGCGCCCAGGCAGGAAAGCCCCCATCGTCTCTGAGAGCTGGACAGCACATCTGTAACGTCTACTGATGAGCTCTGAAGAGCCCATGGGAAAGCACCCCTGCCCCAAGGCAGCAATGCTGGAGCAATGCTCCCCGTCCATTCACCTAGACTTCCTTGTGCACGCACCAGGACTCTGCACCAGCATGGAACCTATGAAGGCGGACAACTGTGGTGAATAGGCCCGGGTGGGACCCCAAGGCTGGCTTGTCTGCCTGAGGAACTTGGCAGTCCAAGGCACTGCTTGGCCCTTCTCTGCACAGAGCAGTTTCACACCATCCCCTGTGCCCTGTCCTGTCCCCCCTTTCCCACCCCCTCCCCTGCCAGCACTGCTAGCACACCTGAGGCAGATTGAGTTTGGTTCCTCCGACCAGGAAGCCAGAGAGGAGGACAGGGACTCTGAGGTGCAGGAGCACTAAGGCCTACAAACATTCAGCTCTTGAGTGGCCCTCTGGTCGCTGAGAACTTATCGAGGCCCAGGTTTGTTGGCCTAAAGGCTTCAGATGATGCCGGTCAAGTGCCAAATGAGAACGTGTGCTGAAAGGAAATAAAACGAGCGTGTTTTGTGCTTTGCTGCAGCTCAGTGACTGCCTTCGGCGTCACATGGATCTGGGGTTATAGAGCAGCAGCAGCTCCCAGATCCGAGGTTGTGGGGAAACAAGTGGCCTCATCCCTGGGAGGATCTCTGTGCCCTGCTCCCAGAGGCCTGGGAGACAGGTAGGGTGAGCCCCCTTCCCCGCCCCCAGCCCCTGAACATAGTGTGTTATTGCTACAGCTGTAAAAATAAGTACATGGGATGGTGTATCTGCCTTGCAACACTTGGCGCTGGGGCCCAGATAACTCTTGGTTGTGTGTGAGTTGGGGTAGGGAGCCCTGGATGTTAAGCAGCACCCCAGCCCCAGCCCAATGGAGGCCTGTAGCCTCCCTCCAGCGCAGCAATCAGAAACCTCTCTAGGCACTGGCCCCCTCGAGCTTAGCTCCAGGACCTCAGATGGTGATGAGAATTCTGTGAGGGGTCAGGAGCCCTGGTGGGAGGCAAGGTTGGATGGCCAGTAAGGCCAGCAGTTTAAACCCACTGGCTGCTGCTCAGGAGAAAGATGAGGCTTGGGAACCCAAGAGAAGGTCATTGAGTCAGAATCGACCCATTGGCAGTGGGTCTTGGGATGGGTGGGCTGGGCCTGCTGGGTGACTGTCCGGCCAAGTACATGCTCCCTTTGAAGGGTGAGTCTCCAAAGCCTGCCTTGCCGTGCTGGTCCAGTTCTGGCTCCAGCTTGGAGATCAAGCCGGTGCTTTCCAACGTAGAGCTTCAGGTTTAACACCCGAGGCGGGCTGCTTTGAGAGCGCCTGAGGGAGGAGAGGCTTGGCACCTGGAAGGCTGGGGCTCTGCCAGCCTTGTCTGGTGGGGGGAAGGGCTGGGGTTCTGCCTGGCGGGGAGGAGGGGTGGTCCTGGCCAGTGCACTGCATACGCAGACACTGAGGCTGACTTGGAGACTTCCTGTTGCTGTGGTCCCCACAGGTCTCAGCAGAGCTCCCAACTAGACAGACTAGGAAGAAGGCTGGTGGCCCGTGTTCACAGAGCCCCATTTGTCAGGTAGGGGACGGGCTGCAGTGAGGTGCTGGCAGGACGCACAGCCCCTAACGCTGTTTCTATCCAGTAACTTCCCGACTGCCCCTGGTGAGGGCAGGGGAGAGGTGAGAGGTGACTGGTCAATGCAGTCGGTGCCCTAACTTCCTTTACCCCAGACTCCCCGTAGTCTCCCTTGCGGGATGTGCATGCAGGAAGCTGTGTCTTCGGGGTCAGGGCACACTGCTAAAGTCCAGGAGGGAAGTTCTACAGGGGGAGAGTACAGTGGGACCAAGTGTGGGGGAGTGAGGCCCCTCTCACCCACTGCCTTGATTTCCCTCGTACATAGCGCCTGCAGGAGGAAAGGACCCTCCCTTGAGATGGTAAACATTCTTCCTGGGATCGTAGGGTCTCGTACTTGCTGAGCACTGAATGTAAACAAGTTTATGAAAACTAGGGGCTTCATGCCCCTTCCCGGACAACTGGTTCCTGGGGGGCAAGGTGGGGCTCCTAGATTGGCACTTTACTAGGTCCTGCAGAGTACCCACACCTGAGGAGCGCAGGGTGCGGACCGGTGACCCTGTGCACCGCCTGCGGAGGGGCTGGTGGGCTGAGTGCCGCCTCAAGAGGAAGGTCCAACCTCAGCCAAGGTCACAGCTGCGCTCCAAGACCTGTCCCTGCCCCTACCCTAGCCTCCGCTGGGGCCCGCCCTCTCCCCGCCCGGATCCCAGCGCGCAGAGGCGGAAGCTGGGCCGCCAATGACCGACGCGAGGCGTCGGGGGCAAGCCCCGGGAGCCTGCGGGGCGGGGTCGAGGCACGCGTCCTCCAATCCACGGGGCCGTTTCCAGGGCTGGGACTCGGGGAGAACAATTCTCTCTTATCATAGGAAGGGCGGCCACCTGGAGGCGGGTCCGAACGGACCTCCCCCAATGGGTGGTGGCCCAGGAGGAGGCGGGGCCCCGCTCCGGTCAGCGGTGGGCGGTGGCGCGCGGGTCTCCGGCCGGGCACAGTCCGCGCAGTTCGCGCCGCCGGC